TAGAGGTGGAAATTACACTAAATAAATATATGTTTCAGTTCTGTCGGCGTCCATTCGAGTATCTGGAGAGCAGGGGTTTGGAATGAGGAACTTCACAATGATCATGCATACAAGAAAGCAGTGCAGACCTCAGAGCTTGAGTCTTTATATGAGGGTGTGCCAAATTACAGCCTTATGTTGCTATGTATTATCGTGTTCCCTGTTTGGCTTGGTCTGTAGAGCGTATTTCTGTAATGGTATGTGGTATCAAGGCTGTGTTAAGCCTTTAATAATAAACTCTTACAACTCCTGTGGGACTGATGGTTTGTGGTTTCTCAGGACCACTTCCAAAGCAGCACGCAATCATTTTTTTAACTGATTTTTTAATAAATTTTTTTCCTGTTGGTTTATTGCTAAAGTCTGGTTTAGGTTTTAAAAGAAAAATGGTAAAAAGTTATTGGTTCAGTTTCTTTGGTTTCCAATAGGATATGACAAATATCTGCAAGTCTTGGAGGGAGAGTCTGTAAAAGGCAAAAGAAGTTAGTGGCTTCTCAGGGGGATGTACTGAACTCGCAGCTGAAATTCTGAAACAGCACTTAGGTGAACATACAAGTTATACATGTTGATTAAATGTGGATCATATTTGCTGTTCTCATTCTGTGTTGCCACTGCTTGTTTTCAGTTTGTATATGGCATTTTCATCAGCAATGAAATCAAAGCAAAGACAATATTTGCACTGGAAGTTGGTCCATGTATTTGCTCTTACATGATTTCAGGAACTTGACATAGTTGGGCTTCAATAGCTATTTCCACACATCTCTTGAGTGCAGCACCCATGCATGATGATATTGTTTATCCTATGGTGTCTGTATCTGTTTCTTGGAGTATGAGGCTTAAGATGTTTTCCCGCATGTTCTTATTTCTCTGACTCCTACATATCTGCATTTTGTTGGTCAGGATCATTACTCCTTTAAGAAGACCCAAATCTTCATTAACTTTTCTGTTCAGAGACTACAGTAGTAGAAAAGATATCAGTAAGGAATAGCAGTTAAATAGTTGTCTGGTGTCGAGAAATGCCTAGACCTAAGGTGCACAATATATGCAGCAAGATGAGTAATTTAATTTGTGTTGGGGACAGACGAGTCATCAGGTTTGGTGTCATCCAGTCCCTGAGAAAGCTCACGGTCAGCAAAACAGGAGGAAGGAATTGTAGGAGACCTAAGACGGGGGACACTGGAGTGGAAGAAGAAAGTATGTGTGTGATAAGGGGTCAGTGACACTTGAAGTGTAGCCTTTGCCTTGAAATACAATCAGTCCTTGTACGTGGGGACTTGTCTGGACAGTGATACAAGCAAAAGCAGCCACCTCAGGTTTGCAGGCTTTTTTTTTTTGACTTCAGAACTGTGCAAACCCCGTTGTGTTCAAGGGCAAGTTCAGCTATATGTCCAGTATGGAGGAACATCATTGGAACAGAGTTCAGATTTGTTCCCAGAGCTGCATTGAGTGTGTCTGCACAGTCTGTCTTGGAGCTCCTGATTGCTGAACCAGACAGGATCCTTCTGTTGGTTCCATAGTAGCGAGCTCTCCTGGAACAGGGCTCTCATACAGCATTACTCCACACTCCAAAAGGGCTTTGATGGAGCACGTTCAGGTAGCCTTGCACAGCAGTTTTTTTGGGGGGATGATGAAGCAGACTCATGTGTTGGTCCAATTTTTCATGCTGTAGTTGGATGGCAGGTGGGAAGGAAAGTGACCCAGGGCATAGTCTCAATGCAGCTTTGACCCAAAGGTGACACAAAGTGACACAAAGCAACTTTGCAGTCTGTGTATTGATGTCTTGGCCATTGTTATTCCTGGCACGGAGTGCCTTCTAAGTAAGTGAGTGTTTCTGCTGTTTTTGCTGCTTCTGATGGATTGGATCAGATCTTTGGATCTGATTGGATGAGATCTTTGGATCTTGGATTGCATTTGTATTTTGCTGTATCTTGTGTATTTTTTCTCCCTTTTCTTTTAAACTGCTGTAACCCCTTAAAAAATGATTGTAGCTAGCATAAAACAGATGTAAAAGGCTGGCATTGTGGTGTGTGCAGCCTTAAGCTGTGCATATTGGCAAGTTATTGGATGTCAGATTTCATGATTTGGGCATAAAGGCTTCCCTTCAGTTAAGAAGGCAGTGAAAAAAACCTTTAAAACTGCTTTATGGAAGTAGGCAGCTGAAAGATGAGGTCGCTCCTTCAGGCATAAACATTTCTTGGCACCTAAAGCGAGGGCACGTGTCAGTGGGTATGTTTTACATTGTGTCTTACTAAATTTGGAAATACAGAGCTTTTAAAGGTTGCCTTTGAAAGATAGCGTGGACTCAGGGGCTTGGGGAAGGTACTGGGCACAGACTGTGCAGCCACTAAAATTCTTGCAGTCTCTGCAAGAAAACCTCTAGAAAGCCAGGAGAATTTTTAACTGAGTGATGACTGGAAGAGGTTTGAAGCTAGAAGCAAAGAAACCTTTCTTATTATGTTCATGGAAGCCAGACTCGGTGTATTTGCAAATAAATCTGGCTTGCCTCAAAGAAATGCTTATCTCCATGAGCTTCTGACAAAAATAACCCGTAGTTCTGAATCTGGCTGAATGCGGATAGCTTAGTGGAAGAAAGGTGACACATGGTTATCTTCTCAGCTTTTTTCAAGTTTATAACTTCTTTGCTTTTGAAGTGTCAATACCAGAAATAAACACAGTGTTTTAATAAAGATCCATGGCCTGTGAAATCACTTGTGGGGGCAGAGGGAGAGTTGATTGTAATACAGGTTATTCACAGTGAATTTGATGTTGAAGCCATGAACTAATAGTCACATGGAGGATTGGACTGGAAAGGGGAGCTCACATACTTATTCTGCTTTTTTCATTTCTGTGAGGAAGATAATGTTCTCAGTTAAGGGAATGAAACATACTATTTTTGTGGGCAGCAATAATGGTATTAATTTGGTGCTTGCAATGCTTTTCAGCCGTTCTTAGCTAAGTCCTAATACTTCATGTGCAGTGTTTGAATGCAGAATATACTGCAGGAAAATGAACAATATTTAAATTTGGCATTAACTACAAAGCAATACTTTATGTTGATAAAAATCTCAACAGTTTTTTATAAGTAGAATCCCACAGAGATACTTCAGAATTAATTGATGGCAGATGAATTTAACACAGTTAAAATGAATTGACCCCCTTGCCATTTAGAATAATATAAAGATGTCTGAATTTTATTCCCAAAAGAGGAAATACAGTTGTTAAGTCCAGATGGATTTTTATTTTTATTGGAGTAAGTTTTGAGACTAGTAATATTATTTTTTTTTTAATGTTACTACCAGAGTGTTGGATCTGGGACAGCACAGGCCTACTTTTTAAAAATTGTTTTAAATCCAGTTAAATGAACAGCTTTACAATGTTTATTTTGAAAATTAGCACTTTCTTATTGAATTTGTAAGAATTTGAAAATAAGCACGGGAATGATATACAGTCTAGAAAAGCCAAGGGCTTGGGTCTTTGTCAAGTTGTCAGCTGGAATGTGGTAACTGCCAATGCCTGTGATTGTTGCCTGCCTAAACGTAAGGTGATGCAGCAGGAGCTTAATTGCTTTTCAGCACGCTAAAGCTGATTGTGCTTGGGCTTTTTGCCTTGAAGTGAGGGCTTGCACCAAGGCAGCCGCTGTGGTTGTGGGATCAGGTGATCTCATCTGAAGCCTGAGTCATGAAGAGACAAAGTCATGAAGGGATTCAATCTATCCATTTAGCTGAAGATGAAAGGCCACTCTGCTCTTGCTGTGTCACTTTAAAGCTTCTGAGTCCATAAAATTAATCCTATTATAGTGGTTTGTTCTTTGCTATGTTTTACCCATTATCTTTAAGTTCTGGGCCTAAGTCTGCTCCACTGGTGGTGTGGTAGGCTACACCTAGCCTACTAGCTAGCCTGTGTAACCTAGCCTGTACTAGGCTTTCTCCTTCAGTTAGGATTGGCGTTGAAGTGGATGGCTTGCTACCAGGAAGCTTGCTACCAAAATAAGCGTTGGTTTGTCTCAAGAATAAAGTTGGAAAAATATCCCACCATTGAACATGGTACCATATTGCAGCTCTACTTGGAACAGAATGTCAAATTATTACTGATAAATTTTGCAAACAAGTTGTAGGCTGGGAGAGTAGTCTGTGAGGAAAACGAAGGACTAATAAAATTGGATTGTGGGGTGAGCTAAATGCAAGCAGACACTAGGGATTGTTTTATATGTGGCCAAGTATCAGTTGCATTTATAAAAACTAGGAACTGTAAACCACAATTGATGCAAATCGTGCTCCATCATATGAAACAGTGACTAAAAGTATTGAGTATTAACTGTTGAGCAAGAGTTGTCATTGTGATCATGGATAAAAGCGCTATTGTGATTCCCATATGGCAAAATAAGAGGGTATCAAATAGGGAGGTTTTTTCTTGATGCTTAGCACATGTGCTATATATAGGACAAAGGTGAAGGATATTGATAAATTGAAATGCATTCAGCAAGGGAGCTACCAGTATGAGCAGAGATATAGAAAACATGGTGAGATCTGCAAAAAGCATAAAGTACTTGGCTTAACAGTTTCAGGGAAGAGCTGAATTGTAACAGGTGAGTCCTCTAAGTGGGGACAAAATATTGATAATACATGAGATAAAATAAAGCTCTCCAGTCTAGCAGTCAGAAGCACATTATGATTCAGTTTTGGTAAGGTGTACCAAGCTTATTAAGCATAAAATGAAATTATTTTCAGTAATTTTATTTTTAAGTTGTGGCTACTTTATTGGGTATTGACGTCATGATTTGTTGCATACTCCAGCGTTCTGCCTTTGCTAGATGCCTGTTGTTTTGTCTGTCTGGTGAAGAAGTTCTTCTGCTTCCTGGTGGAAGGGAGTGTAAGGAGTTATTTAAGCAAAATAACAAGAAAATGTTACAGCAAGAAACGGTGCTAAGAAAAAGGGGAAAATGAACTTGTACTCTTGTGTTACAGATTCAGTGGTTCTTTCCTTTGACTCCGTTGGACATACAATAGGCTCAGGTACAACATTGCCTTCTTCTCTATCTCCCACCTCATGACAAGGCTTCAACGTAACTTGACATGGTAGCCATGTTGGGAGGCAGGTCACTGAGTCAGACTTCGGTGGGAATCAGCCACGTAGTCAAAGTGGGTAAATGGGTCCTGGAGCAGGCTGCCCAGAGAAGCTGCGGCTGCCACATCCTTGGCAGTGTTCAAGGCCAGGCTGGATGAGGCTTGGAGCAACCTGGTCTAGTGGAAGGTGTCCCTCCCTGTGGCAGGGGGTTGGAACTAGATGGTCTTCAAGGTCCCTTCCAACCCAAACCATTCTATGATTATATAGCTCCTAAGGATAGTGGAAGTATTAAGGGTCTTAGTGCAACGCAAGGATGAGCACTTGGGACCCCTTCTGTTACCCAGCAAGGCATATGACCTGGACACGTTATATGTGTTAGTGATGCGGTTTGTGCTTCTCATGTGAAAGGCATGAAGATGATGTCACCCACCAGCTGAAGAAAAATTGTTCTATGCTACTAGGAGAGTTTCTCAGCTAAACAAACAGTTGAGTTATTTGGGGAAACACATCAGGAATGCTTCCAGGAAGGAGAAGGTGAAAGAGTTGTAGCTAAACAAATAGGGCTGGAAACTTTTCTTTTTGGGTGGAGATTGACCAGCATTATCAAACCCCAAGGCAAATTATGTCCAGTCTAATTTTCTTTGAAACCTGAGCATGAACTTCAGTTAAACCGAACCAGAAGTCAAAAATTCTTTTGTGCAGAGTGCACTTCATGAAACCAGCACCTTTCCCTTTGACTAAATGTAATGCATGAGTGGTAGCCAAGGCACACGATAGTGAGCTCAATATTTGATGGAATTCAATTTATGGTTTATGTATAATGATGTGCAAAGGAAAGGCTAAGAATTACTCTTAGAACTTAAACCACCTTCACATTTAGAAGATGGGTTATTTACTGTCTTGCAGAGAAGAAAATAATCCAAGTGAAGGTTTAGCATTTTGTCTTGCTTACTAGCCTTTCCTCTTAGGTTGAAAGGGGGAACATGCTGCCTTCCAACATAGCACCTGTCTTCTGCCTGCACAATTTGAAAGAGAGCCTGCTGCCTGACACTAACAGCAAAGCTTGAACACGGATTTCCAATTTACTAACCCCTGAGCTAGTGGAAGTAACTTGCTTTGGTTACTGCACCCTAAATGTTTTCTGCTGTCTCTGCATCGTCTCCAAGACGTCTATTGGGAAATGGATCTATTATGGGTGCATGGACTGATCTCGGAATATTTCTAGGATGCTGTATGTAGAGTGGATATATTGTGTTTATAGGGAGAAGAAACCCTCTATTATCTATTAACTCCTGTCTACTATTTAATATCGGCCATAACTGAAGTGTGTCTCTGCCTCCCTCCTTCTGTACTGGGTGATGGTTTCTTTATCAGGGGGGAAGTTGCATAGGTTTGAGATAAGAAATTTGTGATTAAAATTCAGGGAAATATTTTTATTACAGCTGGGTATGTCTGAATTGGCATACCTACCGTACTGGAGTTATGCTGCTACAGACAAGACCAGAATTTGTCCTGGAGTACAACTTTTAAATATTACTACAGATTTATCTTTTTCCCCTGCTCTGATACTATTTTGGCTTCTAACTGATGTGAAAACACTTAACCCTGTGGATAGCTTCCAGTGCAGCATACCTATGGAGTTAATCATAAATGTTATGATACTACCATTGGGGTGGTAAACTTACTCATGAAAAATTGTTCAACCGCGCCATGTCTTTTGGAGTTCTGTTAATAGGGAGGGTGGGAGACAAGTTAATGTAGCCAGCGGATTGACCGTGCCTGTTTTAAAAGCACTGGTCTTTGTTCTGCTTATATACTGCAATTGGTTAGGAGTAAGACAGTAAAATTTGATCTTTTGTAAACCTTCCACTGCAAGAAAATTGAATTTCTTTATTGAAGAAATATGAAGAAAAGTCATATACTTAAGAAGGGAGGTTCAGAAATGTCCAAGAGAGCTGTACGTTTATTACTTTCATATTTAGTCCTTTGCATTCACTGTGCTGCAAACCTTAACTTGCTCTGAACTGGTATGTGTAATAAGATGTCAAGATGCGTGATGTTTTTCCAACTGAGGGATAGCTTTCCTTGTTGAACAGGAAGGAGAGAGAGAAAAACTGTGGCTATTCTGCTTCCGCTGTCCATCCCATCTCACCTTGCTGCAGACCCAGGAAAAGACAGAGTCCAGAAAGAACTCAGAGAAACAATGGCAGCTCCAGGCCCAGCCATTCCCAGTAGGTGATGTTTCAGGTTGGGGTAAGAAGGGACTAAAGTTACATGCTTTGAAACAGAAAAATACAGACACCTTTTTCTTTATTACTCAGAATTAAACAGCTGTAATAGTCTCCCTGTTAAGATTTTATGCTGCATAAAACTAGTACTCATTGACTTGTATTTGTATATTAAACAGCTTCTTAGAATTGCTCTTTTTTAATTGTTAATCATGCTATGTGAAGGGCGGTATCTTGTTGCAGTTTCTGTGTTTTGTTTGAATTGACTGTTTGACCTTATCTTGGTTTTCCCCTTAACTCTGTCCCACATGCAAATGTCAGTTTTCAGAGAGGCTGGAAATCTGTCCTTATGTATCTCCAATTAATGACACTGTCTAGGTTCTTTTGGATAAACTTTCGGAACTAAGTGTTCAGAAGATCATCTGGCTATGGAGCCTTAAAGTACTGCTTCATGGATTAGAGGACAGGAGAATCAAATGTGCTTGAAGTGAGACTGAACTGTCTGAGGTTCATGCTGTGGTTGAGCCCTTTAGAGTCCAGATGTTTTTGTGATTCTGTTCACGACTGCTCCTTCCCTTGAAAGACAAAGTTTGAGCAGCAAAGATAAATGTTTGATGTGAGGTCTAGGCCAGTGTTTCAGCTGAAATCATTTAAGAAAGGAGGGTGTCATGCCCTGAACTTGGGCAGCATTAAGCAGGGCACAGGGTGTTTGAGAAGGCCTAGATTTCATTTGCTTGTCATAGACAGCTAGTACTCTTTCCCGCCCCCCCCCGCTCTCCTCCCAGTTGTTTTACTTTGTTGCTAGTAAATCAAAAACATTGGACCTTGAAAGACAGATTTATGCCCCTGCTATTTTTGTGTGAGACTTTTTTTCTACCTCCTGTGTCTGAGAACAAGCAAGTTAAGTTTTTCTTCTCCAAGCCTCATTGGGATATTGTGCATTGAATGTGCAACTTTCCCATCTCTTAATGTGCTTGCTGGAAATATTGAAGTTCTAACTACCTTATGGCTGTAGGCTTACACTGTTGGAGACGCGTTTAATTGCAGTACTGGCCACTGGTTGTATAGCAGTTGTTCTCACTGCAGGCTTAAAACATGATAGTTTTAACATCTCAAGTAACCGTTATCTAAGTCTTGCTCAAATTGTTTGAATATTTTAACTTTGTTGCTTTTTTCAATTTAATTTTTAACCCTTATGAAAAGTTCAGCTTGACTTATGCAGAGAAAATGGAGCTTCTGAAATTTGTTTTTGAGTAGCATATTTGCTGTGGCTCATATAAGGGTGCTGGGGAGGGACTCTTCATTAGGGACTGTACTGATAGGACAAGGGGTAACGGGTTGAAACTTAAACAGGGGAAGTTTAGATTGAATATAAGGAGGAAGTTCTTTACTGTGAGGGTGATGAGGTGCTGGAATGCATTGCCCAAGGAAGCTCTGAATGCTCCATCTCTGGTGGTGTTCAAGGCCAGGTTGGACAGAGCCTTGGGTGAGATGGTTTAGTGTGAGGTGTCCCTGCCCATGGGAGGGGGATTGGAACTTGCTGATCTTAAGGTCCTTTCCAACCCTAACTATTCTATGATTCTACTTGTGAAAGCCCCCATGCATGACCATGCTTCCAGATGCTGAGTTCACAGTGGTAGTGGAGTAATCATCTGAGAGATTAAATCTCTGCTTATTTAGGAGTTTGCTGTTGGTAATTCCTTACGCTAAAGTCCTTAACCATTGTGGGAGAAGCTGTGAGAACTATGAAGGAAACATTATGTTTCCTTCAGCTGCCAAAGATGCTCAGATAATCATTTTGTGAAAGGTGAGAAGAAACCTGTGTCTGTCTCAGCTCCAGAGTGAATTTCGTGACTACTTCCCTGTGTTTTGGATGGAGGCCAGGAAAAGGAATACAACCAAAATTGTCAGATATCAGATTGATAGAACAGTGACAGATTCCTAGCATGAGAGAAAAACACTGTTGTTTTTTGGCTTTATTGATGAGAATCTGGCAATGTAGGTGGCTACAATTACAAAGTATGATCTTTCCCAGGTTCTAGGTTAGTGGTATTTAATTTAGCTATGTTAATAGAGTTTGTGAGGCTCTGGTAGATCATCTTGGTTTGCGAAAAACAATTTAAACTTACATTTGGAGCTGATGTGGTTCTAATTTGTTGGGGTTTTAGAGTTGAGGGTCTTTTTCCCTTAAGTTGATTATCTGACTGTCTTGTTGCTATGTGGTAGTGACGGAAAAGGAGAGGTGAACTTATGTTGCATTTTTCTGCATTCCAATAAAACAGAAAATAAATGGGATAGATTATGTATTTTTTTCTCTTCATTTTAGTGGCTTTGTTATTCTCACTCTTGATTAATGAAGTTCTACTTCATTCTTTATTTCTTTGAGCTGTGGACTGTGGGAGCTGCTTGAATCTTTGCCAGTGACTGTCATGTATTGGTTGCATAGTCCTTACATACCTTTGCCAGCACATTCAGTATCGTCATCATCTATCTTCTTATTAACACTCTATTCCTCCAGCTGAAAATACAGCTGTGAATGAGTTGAGGTGCAAATGCCAAGAGGTGACTTAAAGAATATCTTGAAATGAAAGTATTTTAATGGGATTTTTCTCTATCATATGGCATATCTCTGCATCAAATCAGTACCTCTTGTATGTCACTAAAAGCCAATGTAGATTACTGTTCTGTTAATATTGTTCTTGACTTTTATTAGGAAATACGATACAATTTCTAAAATAAAGAATATGCCGGAAGATGCAGTAGGGCAGCATTAAGTGCATTAGCTGAGTGGATATGTGGTAGTAAATGAAACAACTGTTTGGAAAGGGTTGCAGACTGGCTTTAAACAGATGACTCCCTGGGAAAAGAAAAAGGGAGTCATATGCAGTTCATAGGAGAGAATTTTTCATCTTCCTGTTACAGTCTTTCATAAAGTCAGCTTTAAAACAGTCAGTTGCTTTTCTACTGTTGGAGGTTGCTATAGTTTTATTAGGAAGCAATTTGTGAGGGGTTTTGTAGTAAATGTTAAGGCAGCCAGAGCCTTAAAAAATGTAGTATGCTAGAATGGCCTCCTTTTTTTTGTTTGTTTGGTTTTTTTGTTCTAATATACCTATATTGGAGGTAAGACAAGGAGGTGAAAGACCTTCCTGACCCATACAGCACTATCATCAAGGGGTTGTTTTTTATTCTTTCTGTGCCTAGGGGATGAATAATGTAGTTGCAGTGTCTAATGAAGGAGACCCCTCCGGTGGATTGCTTTCCTCAGGCTGTAAAGCTGGGCCAGATGTCTTTGGGGGCCCCAGTCAGGAATTACAGGCGGAGGGAACCACCTTGAATATATAGAGCTGGAAATTACTTCCTTTCGCTGCTAAATCTGCATCAGTAAGTAGTACCCTCATGATTGTTAGTGTTACCAGGGCATGCAGGGGTTTGTGACTGGAGACAGATTTCTCCTTTCACCACTTAGAACTCACAGGTTTGTATTTCAGCTGTGCTGATAGTGCCTGGTGTATCCATTCCCATCAGATATGGCTGTTGTCATCAGGTGCAGTGTCTGGAAAATGAATATTGAGCTTGGTGTAGCAGGAAGAGTGTTTTTAGATCAGTTGCACAGTCTGTGAACATTCTTAGATGTGAAATTCCATGTTTTGCTGACAGAGTAATAGTGTTGATGAAGTTCTTTTGCTTCCCAGAACAAAAGAAAGCTAAAGCTTTCTTTAATGTGAGGCTACATTAGAAGTTGTTCAAGAATCAGTTTTTTACACACATGGTGGGAATGTCAGATGGGTAGATAGTGCTATGCAGACATGGACTGGGGAGGCATGCTTCCAGTGCTAGTCTACAGATGTCACTTCTGCTGCTTCTGTGTATTTTTACTGAGCAGGGAAGAGCACCAAGAACTGGTCTAGGGTTTTGGTCACCAAGAACCCTAAAGCCCAACTTACCAGTACAGTTGGAGTTCTCCCTGATGTCACTTGGACAACCTGGAGAAAAAGGCATTAAACTTATATGCAAAAGAGTGAATGGGGGTGAGGAGGAAGCTGGAACATAGACAAGCTTGCTGTTTATGCCGGACAGTGCTGAGGAGCCCGGGGGTGGTCAGCTCTACCTCTTCTGGCTTTGCAGCCTTTGCCTCCTGCTCAGTTATCCAGCCTCAGGAAATACTGCTTTCATCAGCAAGTTCTATCACTGAAGAGGTTACAGTGAAAATCCTAAGGGAAGGATGCAATATTAAGTTCTTGTTTGTCCAGTACTTTTATTGTTGCTCAGTAATCCTAAGTGATACTTTTTAACCCTGGAAGAAAATCTTTCTTTTGTTCTTTTCAGTTGATCATAGAATCATAGAATCAACTAGGTTGGAATAGGCCTTTAAGATCACCAAGTCCAACCATTACCCCAGGACTGCCAAGCCCACCACTAAACCATGTCACTCAGGGCAAACTGATCTCCCTTCAAGATCTCTCCTTATGGCTGCCCCTCATGATCACCACTCATAGCCACCCCCCATCTGCCCCTCACAGTTGCCCACACTGTGGGCAACTGCCACCCCTACCCCCACCCCCCCTTATGGCCACCCCTCACAGCGCACAGCTGCCCCTGCTTTCCACTCATGCTCTCCCCTCATGGCCGTGCCTCATCTTCCCCTCATGATCTACCCTCATGGCCACCCCTCCTCTCCCCTCACAATCTCCCCTCATGGCCGCTCTTCCTCTCCCCTCATAATCTCCCTTCATAGACACCCCTCCTTCCTTTTCAGTCTCCCCTCATGACTGCCCTATCTTTCCCTCACGGCCGCCCCTCATTTCCCCTCAAGATCTTCCTTCATGGCCGACCTTACTCTCCCTTCATGATCTTCCGTCACAGTCGTCCTTCAACCCTCGTGGCCACCCCTCCTTTCTCTTTATGATCTCCCCTCATGGCTGCCCTCCCTCCCCACTCATGATCTCTCCTCACAACCACCATTCACCCCTCATGGCCACCTCTCATCTCCTCTCACAATCTCTCATCATGACTGTCCCTTCTCTCCCTCATGATCTTTCCTCATGGCTGCCTCTCATTTCCCCTCATGGTCTCCTCTCATGACTGCCCCTTCTCTTGCTCACCATCTTCCCTCATGGCCGCCCCTCTTTTCCCCTCATGATGTCCCCTCATGGCCACCCCTCCTCTCCTCCTATGATCTCCTCTCATGGCTGTCCATCCTCTCCTCTCATAATCTCCCCTTATGACTGCCCTTCATCCTTCATGGCTGCCCCTCCTCTCCCCTCATGATGCCCCCTCATGCCTGTTCCTCCTTCTACCTCACAATCTCCCCTCATGACTGCCCCTTCTCTCCCTCATGATCTTTCCTCATAGCTGCCCTTCCTTTCCCCTCACAACTGCCCTTCACCCCTCATGGCCACCCCTTCTCTCCCCTCACAGTCTCCCCTCATGGCACCCCTCCTTTCCCTTCATGATCTCCCTTCATGGCTGCCCCCTCTCTCCCCTCATGATCTCCCCTCACAATCACCCTTTTTCCCCCCCCATGGCCACCCCTTGTCTTCCCTCATGATCTCCCCTCATGGCTGCCCCTCCTTTCACCTCATGATCTCCTCTCATGGCTGCCCTTCACCCCTCATGGCCTCCCTCATCTCCCCTCATATTCATCAGTGTTTAGTGTTGTCTGATTTGTGTACAGCAGCTGCAAGTATGCACTGCAGAGCCTATTTCCAGCTCTCCACTCATAATGAGGATTAACCACATGCTATCTACTTCATTGCTTACACTCCCTTCCCCGCTCCATGTAATTCTACAGGCTCCTCTGCCTCTTTGCTTCTCCAGCTATACAAACTTCACTGGACAGGATGAAATGTATCAGGGTGGTCTGACCTGTTCTTGACAGGACTCCTGTCTCTTGAGTGTCATACTGCTTTCTTTGACAAACACAAACATTTTGAAGAAAATAGCTGAAGTTGAACCCTCTGCCTTCCATCCTGTACTTGCAATTAACAGTTAAACACAGCGAGAACTAGAACCACATATAGCCCATCTTTTAAAAGAAGCTTAAATTAATTTTCTGTTTCAGTGGGTGAAGTTATTTATATTGTCCTTCCAAGTAGCCAGCTGCTAAAGGAATAGTACTCAAGGCATCAGAGAAATAAGTTATGGATAGTTTGGAAGGCTAAAACCAATAAGCCAAGTTAATTCCTGAACTGTTGACTTTGTATTAGTAGCATAAAATTAGTAGGGGAAAATTTTGCCTGTTGTATGTAGATATATTGGCTGCAGATGCAAAATACAGTTTTAAAACATGATAGGTACTGTACACTGTGCTTGATGGCTTTTTTGAGTAGTCTGTATGGAATTTGCAGACATGGGACAATGCATTTCTCACTTGCTGCCTGGTAGCTGGATTTCTGTTGGATACTTGAGAGAAGCTTCTATTCTAATGCCAGCATAGTATTTGGCACATGATTTGCTTCACTCATAGAAATTGCTTCTTGGCTGTACTTCTGTTCTTATAACCCTAATTACATGCTTTCTTATGAAATTGGTGTCAGTTATTAGATTCTTACTCAATTCTGATCTTTCTGGAAATGTAGAAATGCATTTTATTTCTGACCCAGGAAGACCTCTTGTTCTTATGGGTCATGATGAAACTTCTATTTCCCATGTTCATTCCTTTCTGTGCTTCTGTACACTACTGTACCACATTGTCAGCTGAGATCTCTGGTTTCCCAGCACAAGTGAGTTTGGTCCTTAGATTGCCTTGCTCTCTTTTTATACTGTTGCTTTTACCCCTCATGGACCTTTCAGTCTCTTATGGGCTGAAAATGTAAAGCCTTCTTCAGATTCTTCCATGATGTTTTTAATGAACGCAAAATAAGTTCATTAATAATTTTACGCATTTTTGGCTTAAAAAAAAAATAATCCTATTCCACATAGCCATATAAATGCCTTGTTTGGAGACCAGTGGGTCAGACATGGCCTGAGCTGGATCAGACCTACCAACCAGGTAAAAATGATGCTGGCAGAGGCCAACAGCAGACCACAGTTAACACAGCAAGCTGGTCCAAGCTAGTTCTTTTTGGAGATACTGGAGTATTTCTTCCTTGTTCTCTTTAGCTATTTTGTTCTTGTTTTCTCCAGTATTTTAGCAGTTCTTAATCCCACTGCTTGAAAAAGAGAAGAAATGTTTTTGTGTATTGGCTGGTTAACTTGGTGAGTAAGGCTTTAAACTAAGCCCGTGGAAGGTGAAAGTAACCTGTAGGTTAGGTCGCAGAGAAGTTACACGAGTGCCAATGTAGGCTCTTGCAGCCAGTATTTTCAAGGCAAGAAAGGGCAGGAGGAATGGGATTGCCCCTTTCTCTAGCAGTAAGCTGTGAGATCATCTCCTGTAATCATCACACCATGACCATACTGCATTTCAGATTCACTTGTACTCGCCTTGGATTTAGTGGATCTGTGTTTTGTTTTAAATTAAATACATAACTTCAGACAAGGATTGCCTTTTCCGGCAGCTGGGCCATGTGTGTTTGGCTTTGCCCAGGTACTGGGGGTTTTATCTGCCTTTTGTGAATCCAGACTGCTTCCAGCCAGCATGTGGGTTGCAGTGACTTCTGGCCCCTTTATTCATAGTGGTACAGCTAAATGGCATTGGAAGTCCATAACAAGACTGATTTTAGCTAAAATGGAAGCTAACTTTGAATCTGTAACTTTAACACTCCTAGTTGTCTTTCTTGGGGGGAGCAGTATGTGATGGAGATGAATTTCCAAGCCAGTAATGCTGAAGCTTCCAGAAGTGTCAATGAGCATGAGATGGCTCATGAGGAGGGCAGCATTCCTCTGCCTGAAGCAGTTTGCATGTTTCACCAGCCAGCAAGAGGAAGGAGCATAGATGCTTCTGGTTTGATGTTACAGCCTGAAAGGATAATTTCCACCCGACTGAAAATCAAGAACACACATGTGCATCTGGTTTGAAACCATAAATGCTATTTTGTTTTGTTATGCTAATTTTGAAAGTGCCTGTTGCAAGATAGTTGACATACTTAATTTTACAAGATTGCTTTATACCTCTGTTAGTAATCATCAGAGAACATCAAAAGTAACCACTTAAAACCATGGGAAGGTGAAATGCATGTCACAAACAGAAGATGAATCTTACGAAACATTGCAATGGAGGTATGTCATCTGTGGCACTTAGTGTGTAGTATGTGTGTGTTTTCTGGTGCTTTGGTTGCAAAGCTCATAAAGTGCTGTGTTAGTAGAAAGCCCAGGATGTTGTTGTAGTTATGAGGTGATGTATCTTATTGCATTTCTTCTTATATTTCCTGTTGGGAAGAAGGGAATGTTAGCTCGAATTGGATAACACTGATGGCAGGTGGGTCAGTGGCTGTAGATGTTAATAAATAAATAAATAAATACAATAAAAATAATCTCTGTTGCAGCTTGCTCAGTATGGGTTATGTTTTGGGGAGGAGGAAGGGTTAATAAAAATTAAAGGCATATTTGTTTTTCTGGAATGGATAACTTTCTATCCACCATCCTGTATGCGGAGGAGGTAAGTTGGACAGGAAATAATTTCTTGTAGGAGGAATAAACTGGGAGGAAGTTATGAGGAAAGCAGGATATGGGGGAAATTGCAACTGTCATTACATGGAAGGTAGAGGAGATGTACAGGTGCATTTCTAGCTTTCCAAGTACAACAGGGATGGTGGGTGGCATGCAGGTGCTGGCAGAGGATGGGCAGTATGTGCCAGTATCAAGTGCGCACATGTTCTGCAACTTCTCTTACTAAGTTATGTAAAACATAATATTTCCCTTGGCTCAGGAATTACATCTTAATGGGATTGAAGCTAATGGCATGGTTTACACTGACCTATCTGCTGCAGTCGCTTTGTCTTAGGTACATGTTTAGGCTTTCCTATTCTGCTGGTAAGTGATAGCACGAAAAGCTTGTGATCTTCTTAGGTAAACTACTGCAGCAGAAAGCAAACATCTCTATTTCCACTGAGTTCTTTCTTAAAGGCTAGGGGAGTGGTTTTTCTGCTTACTTTTAATACATCCTGATGCTTAAGCTCTGGGGGGATTATCTTTTAATTCTGTTTGTATTGTTTGTTTCTTTTTATTGTATGGTAGCGAGACTCTGTGGTCCTCAGCATGAGGAGGTCCCTGAGCTTAACAATGCGAGAAGGGCACTACACCTTTTCATTTTCTGTATGTATCTCATGTGAATTCTAATAGGTTTTTTTTTGTATCAAGTATTTGATTTGCAAGATCACAATGTAATCAAAGATGCTGAATGCAATGCTTACTTTATACTGGAATTACAGTTTTTCTGAGTGTTAACTTTGTTTCTGTAGCTGTTACCTGTTTATGGCATAAACTGACTTTGCAGCTTCATGTTGAACATCACCAGCGCTTGAAGCATTTTTGCCACCATGAATTATTTTATTTTGAAGAAGGGCTGCTCAATTACAAAGTTGTGGGTTGGAATAGACAAGGAATCAAGAAAACTTTAAAGCTGTACCATGTCTGGACCTAGAAGGAGGGTTTGTCATAGAAATTACTGGGAAAATGATTTATACCGTAGGCAGGAAAACTTTGTATACCACTGCATGTGTGGTTTCAGTAATGCTTTTTAAATGACTACAGATATCTTGGTTAATTCTAGTGATTTCTAAATTAATGATTACCAATGTGTTCTCTTGCTTTAGTATTTTTTGGGGATTCAGAAATGTTCATTTGGGAATACCTTAAAGTAACAATGTGGGCTAACAGCTGCTAGTGACTAGAAATTTTTGATATAGTTATTTTCAATTAGAAATAATCATTGCCCTTCTGTAAGGACTTGCTGCTTTTTGGGTTTGGTGCCTTTTGCAGAGGAGACACTTACAGTTTTTATGATAATGTGTCCCTTGCTTTTGTTTTCCAGAGTATGACAAACTGGGCTTTCTCCTGAACCTGGACTCAAAATTGTAAGTAGAACAGGAGGACTCTTCTTTGTTTCTGTTATAAGCAAATCTTATGTCACCTGGACAGTTGGGTCACTGGACCGTACACTTCTACCTGGGACAGCAAAGTTCTGCAACAACGTGGCAATTATGACTTCTTTCCTTACACTAGGCTTTGCTGGCCAGCTTGGATTATTGTTCACTGTTAATTGCATAATGACTGATCAAGAGGCTATAAATGTCCACCTGAAGCCATGACTGTCAGTCTGATCTAGATCTCCTTCTCTTAGTCTTCCAAATGAGGAAAAATGCATTAACCATTTGAAAGCGGGAAGAATGTCAGCCTGATTTACTGATGCTTACACGTTTTTATTTCCTTTCTGCTTGTTCCTTTCAAAATGGGTGCTGCTATTTTTGTTCATAAACTGGAGCAGAAAGAACCTCCTCACAAGGTAGTGACCATTTGCTAAGTCAGAACAGCGAAGTGCTGAAGGAGGATACTTGTCACGCTTGTTGCCATAAATCAGTCAAATTCAGACTGAACTTAACACTAGGGGTCACTAGCGACTCTGTTTCTGAGGTCAACACCCTTGTGGAAATCTTGGTACCGGGAGCAGAAAGACTACTAAAACCCTTCTGACTCCACTGCTTAAAAAGGCACTGAAGCAATCTAGTGGCTTTGAATGACTTGAGGATGCAGCCCCTGTATAATGTTGATATAAAAGCGTTACTATAAAAACTGTTCTTAATGTTCAGAAAGGTTTGTTGTACTTACAGGGTGTAACATTGAAGTTTTGTGTTTAGTCTTGCTGAGTAGCTTAGGAGCTTCCATAATGAAATAAAAGCCTTGTAAATGTGTTGGGAACTGCTGTGTGCAGGAAATGAGAAAGTCTTTAGGTAGGAGTTTCTTTTACAGATGCATCTGGGTACATAAACTCAACTCTAGTAATTTACCTGAAAAAAAGTACTGTAGAAGAGCATGTTCTTGTTCAGTGTGCAGGAAGGATGGTGATTACTGCATGAATAGCTGGTCAAGGTTTTTTTCTGGTCTTTTTAGTGTTCTGTGCCATTTTTGTTGCATGGTGTCTGGAGCCCATGCTGGTTGCACATTTACCAATTTTCTTTATTATATTTTCTGTACTGGGACTTTCTTGTGATTTAGAGGCAACAGGGTATGTACCTTACAACACTGGGATGAGATGATATATTCAATTTATGCATGTAGACGTAAAAGCAAAAGTTGTGAAATGGGTGACCTTTGAATGAATGTCTTGGTCTTGGTAAGGGAATATTTTTTTAAAGCTTTTAAGTAGTCTGATTTTTGTTTTTTTTTTCCAGACTACATATTTTGTAATGTCTGAGTTACTGAACACACCCGTTGACTGTCCACACACTTTTGGCATACCAGCTTTGGATACCAGCCTGTGCTGCATCCAAACCAAGGTTTCAGCCTTGTGTTTCCTATTCTTCCTTCTGTTTCTACTTGTCCTTTTCTTTGTTGCTTTTAGCAATTCTCCTGAGTCTTCCTTCCCCTCATGCCTCCTTTTTTTTTTTCTCTTTCCTGACTTATCTATTTCAATTACATCTCTCTGAGAGCTGGCCTGCTCCTTCTTAGACTTCAGTTTGAGGCCAGGTGAAGTTTTTACCTGCTGGAGGGCTTCTAAAACTCTCTATTTTTTTTTTTTTTTTAAAAACTTCCCTGTGATAAAAACTCTCTAATATTTTTTTTATTAAAGAAAGATTCTGTTGACCACTTAAAAAGGTACTTACATAGCACCCTAAGTGTGTATGTTTGCTTTTCAAAGCCAGAAAGTTAGCTTCTGGAAAGGCTTGTAATAAAATCAGTATGATCAAAATAAATACTATGAGGTTAAGGAGCAAAGAAAGCAAGTATTATACATAGGTGAAATAACTTGTTTGTTTGGTGGGTTTTTTTACTGTAATTGTTCTTTGTTGGTTCTAGGTTGTTTGGGATGTTTTGTTTTCCTTTATATTTTGTTATTTGTCTGTGTGCTTGCTTATTTATCCTGTGGAAGTAAAGTGGCCCTGGTTTGAGAATAGACCTGATGATCTGTAGTGTTCTCTTCCAGTCTGAATTATTATATGGTTACTTTTTTTCAGTAGCAGGGAAGCCAGGAAAAAAGCTGAAAATACCATAAAATATAATAAATTTTGAATGAAAAATGGGTGACAGACCAGAGGAATGTGCTGCTGTTCCACAAGTTCAGCATGTATAGTCAAGGTACCAAACACTTTTTCTAAGTATACACTGAATCCAGGGAAATTTGGAGGTTAAAAATATTTTCTGCAACTCAGTCAAGGTAGTACCATTGTAAAAGTATTGTCTGGTTAAAAAAAAACAACCTGCTTAGAGTTGAAAGGGGTGTAATATGTTCCGCGTTGATGACTTTATTGGCAGAAATAATTTAATTACGGCTGTTGTTGTGATATAATCATTCTGGTGGAATTTTGCCATAGATCATAACTTCATAGGGTTCACTTAATTCACAGCATGTGAGAATCATATGTGACTTGAAGCACTTCGGGCAACAGTTAGGTTTCTCTCTCTTTTTCCCTTAATCTTTCATTTGCCCAAAATCTGTTCCTGGCTGTTACTGGGTGTCATTTAAATTAATGACCTGAAGATCTAACATTTTCTGCAAAGGTAGGTCTGCATTAAAATTTAGAGTGCTCCTACTTGCATTCTAAATGATGTTATAAGAGGGAAGGATTTATCTGAATAAATAGTAATGTGCCCATTTACCTTTGCATCTTTAATTTTTCATGTATTACATGAATAGTGTCTTCTACTCCATAGATGCTCAGGGCATGTTATTCAAGTATAATACATCCTGTTGTAGATACAACTATGGAATGATTCAGTTCACTGGTTCTCTTTGAGTTCAGGGAAACGGTAATGAAACCAGATTCTTTCTTTTTGTAAAGAAAAATCTGTCAGAAGCACTTGATAAGTGTTTTCTGTGGGAACTGTATGTCTGATGCATGATTTGCTACAGCATTAGAGAGCGTGGTATGGCCAGAAAGTTAACCTGGAAAGGAATGGCCATTTCTAAAGATACTGTGCAGATGCTATGTGGAAATGACCAGTTCTGACCAGAGGTCTTGTTGCTCTGAGCTTGTCAGAAAGAAAAGTATCAAGAAGGAAGATACTTCCTTTCTACTGCCTGTGCTTAGGTTATCCTTTTAACTTTTTAAAAGTAGGATGGTATTCAGGTGGAGATTGATAATGAAATACAGGGTGAATGAAAAGCAGATGACGTCTGTAGGCAACATATTAAGTTCCTTCTTTAGTCAAAATGAGACCTAGGGCTCCTCAAGACCAGATTAGTGAAAAAGACCTATTGCAAGAGGAGTTTATCTTTTATTTATGCTTATACCTACCATAACATCATCAAAAAAAATTAAAATACCAACACTAAATATATGCAAAATACAGAAACAGGCCAGTTCAATCAGTTCTACCAGGTAAGGAGGTTTCCCAAGCAGCAGAGCCACAGACTGTTTTAAAATCTTTATGAATAAAGTCCAACATTTACTGGTTGTGTAAGAAAAATACAAAATATATAGTGCAATTCACAGGTCTTCATACCTGGAGGGGGTCACTTACTACACTGTGAAAGCTGGGTTAGTGACCTTAATGATTACTCTGAGTATGCTTGGCAGGTTACAAGTGTAGATTCACTTGTCTTGCACATGTGAAAAGCTCCTTTTTTGTAATAACTCGTGATCTGGGGGCTTCCCCGTGATGTTGTTGCCATCATACTTCTGTACTAGCTTTCCATACTTTCCTGGCATTCCATTTATTCAGTGAGATGGAAGCTATCACTGCTACTTCTATCATTGTTTCAAACTTATCCTTCAAATGCTATTTTCAAAGGTATTTTAGCAGTTATATTAGTGTTTTGATGCTTTTAAACAGCAGCCATAAAAAAGCTCCCCTTGGGTGATGGTGGGTCTTTTCACCTGCTGCCACAGTCAGCTCAAAGGCTTGGATGTTAAAATCTCAGTTGCTGAATGATGGGGGAAGCATCCCAGGGTTTGGCTTTGACTGTGGAAGAATCAATCCCTCCATAAAGTTTTGAAAATGTTAGAAGATGTGCTTAATCTTACTGAAATAATTCTTCACCTAAACAAAAAGATAAAGTGGGTATGATGTGTTAACTTGAGAAAAAGGTAAAAACAGGCAAAAAAAAATTGCTAGCCCTCTCACTTAGAAAAAAGACTGTAAAATTGGTATGGTTGACCACGATAGCATACTACTAACATAGTTAATACACTGTATTTATACAATATATAGAATATATTTTATTTGTGCACTTTGGAAATTTTTAGGCAGTATTTAAAAGGAGGAATGTTTTTTCCTGTGGGCTCTGTGCTTTGCTATGCATTTTGTGATACTGTGTTTCATGATTTACATGTTTTTTTCCAATATTATAGAGTAGATTCGGGAGGTGCAACAAAGATTTTTTTGAATATTGATAATCATTTCAAACTTTGCTTTTAAAAGAAAAGACAAAGAAATTGAGTCTTTGGAGAGGGTGGGGGAGTGTGAGGGTGGAGGGAAAGAAGCCAGAAATAACAACCTTCACCCTTCAAACTCAAACGAAACCTGATCTAGACTTTGAAAAGACTGTAAAAATGGAGGGAGTTTGTGCTAAGGAAACACACAGATTGGGTTACTTCTGTTTGTTGAAATTTCTTTACTTCAGAGCTTTAATAATTAAGAACTGAAGGAGAGCCCCTTCCCCTTATTTTGTTTCTGGGGTGGGAGGTTTCTTTAACACTGTGTCTATGTGTGGTACTTTGCCATTAAGCACTGTAAAAATAAGCAATAAATGTGTTGGAATGCTGGACTTTCCCTGTGCCTACTGCTGTGGGGTTTCTTTCTTCCCTGTCTTCCTTCCTATTTATCTTCTTATATTCCTGTGATCCCGGGGGGGGGGGGGGAGAAGTGAGAAATCCCAATGATCTCCCATCCTGCTTAGACAGGAATAAGAGTGTGT